AGTTGGTGAAGTTCTTATTTTAAAAAGTTTCATTATTTATAAATTGGTAAAGAATAATATCCATTCTTTTTCTCTCTTATTACTTACCTTTTTCCTATTAATGCATTTTAAGTAATCAGCTTTTAAAAACAATAATTTATTTTGCGTGTAGAAAAAGTTAACCAACACATACAGAATGAACTAAGAAGAGAATAAGTTGACATATTTTAAAACTTGTAAATTCTTGGAAAGCTAAAGTGAAATAAAATGGACTAGAAATTACACGAAGTGGGAGAAATGTTTATTAAGACTTTAATGCAGTGATGACAAACCTGTTAGAGCTTTCAGTGGTGCTGTTAGCCCACTGCAGGATGCGTGCCATAGGTTCGCCACGACTGCTTTAGTGTCTTACCAAGCATGAGACCCTTATAATGAAGAAAAGGAATGCGTTTAACATGCTACACTGAGTTACTTCACAGTGGCAAAAGATTTATGTAAAGATAAAGGTCTCTCAACCTGAGTGCTGTCAGATCCTAAGGTTTCGAACTTGATTATGAACTACACTGTACTTGATAAATGGGTTACTTGTAAATTGTCACAACTTTGTGTTTACTAAGGAAAGAGAGAATGTAAAAGAAAGTAGAGGTCCAAAGGAACGATTAAAACATCATAAACATACTGTTTTCTGTTCTCATTTTGAGCCCATAGCTCTTGTTCCAGAATTATCAAAGCTCTTTTCCTCAGGCTTTTTATTCAGTTTTAAGGGGCAACACTGTAGAGATCTACCATTCTAATTTAGCCTTTAGCCCTGTAGCATCTCTTCTGCACCTATCTGAAAAACTTTCAAAGATCCAGTTCCTATAACACCCCTTTTATGACAATATCCATAACGCATCTAGAATATTTTTTGTAAACAAAAAATTGTCAGTAATGTTTGTCTTAGCAATTGGGTTATGAGCACTGCCAGGCAAAACATATACTTTATTTACCTGTATATGCCTCATGCTTAATCTAAACCAGTTAATTATTGATAACTATCTAGTAAATGAAAGAGAAAGAGAAAGTGGGGAGTCAAAGAGGAAGATGGAGAGAAAGAAAGAAACTGTATGTATGTAATGTTCACAGGAGGTTTTGGAATTGTTGCAAGTTGTTACTAGGACAAACCATAGCATATTTCTTATTTAACATTCTCTATTAGGCTGCAATAGACCCAGTCCTGAATCTTGGATGAAATGAAAGCCCAAGGGGCAGCCAAATATAGAAAGAAGCAATAAAATTTGGCACTAAACCATTTAGAAAGATTATTAAAATCAAGTCATCAGTGCAAAGGACCTATGCAAAAAGAATCTAAGTCAAAATCAAAGAAAATGGAAGTCAGGAAAATCAGATGAAAGGAAGAGGAAGAGAGCAAGAGAAATTCCTAAGGCAAGGAGTAATTACTAGTTATTTGTGTGCCATTAATGAATGAACTTAGCATTCCTCACTAATCAGGTCCTGTAATAAGGTGCCCAAATTTAAACACTGGTTCTATTCTTGTCAGATCCCTGACTAGGCATGACATTTTCCTTGCTTGTAAGCCAAAGAAAAGATAATAAATACATACCTTAGACAACTGCTTTGAAATTAAATATGACTGCAAATCATTTAGCACAGATCTTAATGCATAATCATGTTGGTCACTATTATTAATAGCTTTTCAATCAATCTGAAAAAATAAGTAAAGGAAAACTAACAGGTGAAAAAAATCAGTTCTAGGTAGCGTAATGGTACACACTCTGCTTAGACCTCATCTTGTTTTATATATGTTATCCTAGTATCTTATTTGGTTAATATACTCTCACTACCATAAAAACTTTAAAAAATAAATGTCTATGAATATCTTCAAGACACCAAGATTAGAAATATTATTCTTAAACATGAAATAACAGAAACAAATTATAAAGAAACAATGCTAAATAATTTTAACTGTCAAAAATTTAAATTTCTGAGAAAAAGGTAAGTATCCCAAAAGATTAACACTACACAAGTAATGAAGAAAATGCACATAAAAACATGAAAGGATAATTTGCTTCTGTAATAGCACATAAGTAATTGTAGAACTAACTCTGACTTCCCAGTGGGAGTAAATAAAAAACTTGGAAAACCGCAAAGAATTTAAATCAGATAGAAAACGTCCTTCCATTGTGATACTAAACTAGATAACAATAACAACATGATAACTAGAAAATATCTAAATGCTCAAAAATTAGGTGACATGTTTCTAAATAACCTATGGGTCAATAATTAATAAAAATGGCATGATGTCAAGCATATTAAAATATGACACATCAAACACCAAGAAGCAGCTAAAGTTATACATTGAGGAAAATTTATAGCGTTAATGAGTATATTAGAAAAGAGAAATTGAAAATTAACAAAAAATTTTAAGTAATCTAAGGAATCCATTTTAAAACACTTGAAAAAAATTAAAACCAAATAAAGCTAAGAAAAATCATAAAAGTAAAAGCAAAATGAAAGAAAATGGGTTATAGAGTAAATTAACAAATCCAAATGTTATTTCTTTAAGAAAGCTTTATGAAAGTGATAAACTTATATTAAATTTTTAAAGATAAAAATCGCTAATATCAGAGGTAACTGCTAGAGATGTTTATTTCAAAAAGAAATTTAAACTCAGAGAACACATAAATTTTCTCTACTAATGTAATAAATGAAAAAAAATATTTTAATAGACATGAAAAAACATTTGATAAAATTCAATATCAATACAATACTGCTCTCCCCAGACTAGAGTCAAATGGCAGTTTCACTAATCTAATTTTAAAGTAACCTACAACAAGCATTATATTTATTATTTTTCATGGTGAAATATTGAGAGCTTTCCTCCTTGGATCCCAGATGAGACAAGACTGTTATGTCATTTTTTTCAAGACAGAGAAGTGAAGTGAGGATCACATTTGGGTTAGAAATGCATGTTTATCTTAAGTATCTGAATGTTTGTTTTCCTGGGGCGTGAGAAAGAAAAACAAAAGAGGACGAGAAGATATACCTCCAAATCATCTTTTTTTTTTTTTTTCCTATTAGCAGGAAAAGGAATTTGAAAGACAGAAAAATGTAAGTAGCACCAGAGGCTGGTGTTAAAATATAGGTGCCCTTGGTGTGAGACGGAGCGGGGCAGGAAGCCAAGGTGATTTAAAAAGGCAGACCGGAGCCTGGGAAATGAAACACTTGAGACTGAAAATGGATATTTTTTAAACGTTCTATGTTTTATGTCTGACTTCGGTTATATATTTTTTATTAATCTGCAATAAATGTTCCCAAATCCTAGTACAAATTATATTATTTGATTTTCAGCTGAGTCAGAACTAGGAATTGTCTATGTTGAATAGGACAAAAAAATCAAACTAAAGAAATGAAGGGATTCTAATTTCTTTCAGAGCCTCTTTTTCCTCCATTATCACAACAAAAATTGTCAGTCATACCCAAAATTTAACGGGTACATATAATCATAAACAATAATTAATCAATGCAATAGAAAAGGCATAATGCCCAATGACAATTTTTAAATTTATATTTTCACTGATCATGACCCACATTATAATCATTAATAACATTTATACAAAACAACTTCAATACTTGGGTTTCGAGTATGGTGAATATTATTCTCTGTTGTGGATCGTACAAGTTGACACAAACCAGTAATTTTTCTAGTAGAATCTTTACACTTGGTGGTTGTGTCTATATTTAGTCTCATTTGGGGGTATTGATAGGTTCAATTAAAAATTCAGCAGCAGAATTGTTACGCAGACAAAATAGCTACCACATTACGTGTTACATTTAGACATGTTAGCATCTTAGAGACAGAAATTCTTGGTAAAATATAGGGCTCCTAGCTATACCCGAAGTCAGTAGGATAGACTAAAATTCTGGATTTAATCACAAATGGGCCATTAAAGCTAACCATATAAAAAAATAAATAAAACCACCAAATCTGTTGGCTGAGTTTTGCCAGTACAGGGGAACTGAACCATACCAGCTAACTATAATCAAGACTGTAAACTGCCTGTTATTAAATTGTTTTTCCTGTGGTAAGCAAACAAAGATACATTGAAGGAAGGCGGGTAACAGCCTCAGCTCCTGATTCATTCTGCAGACTTTATGGAGCCAAATTGCATGTTGCCAATCAATACAGAGCCACACAGTCGTTTTTAAATGTCTTGCCACAGGAACTGGCTTGCAGCCACCATAGGAGAGAGGTAAAAGGAAGCTGGTATCGGAGGAAGGGACCCAATTTGTTTCCTCTCCAAAAACTGCTTATTTGTGTGTTTTGCTTCATCAGTATTTTGAAACTCAAAGACCCTAATGTAGGAACTCTTACAACAGTTTTATTCTTGAAGACAATTCTGATAAATTCTATTAAGTCCTTCATCTCTACATATATGCATCAAAAAATTAAAAGGAGGGAAGATCCAGCTGTGATTTACCACATTTCAAATGTCTGCTTCATGGTTTTAAATTTTATTGTTTTCTATGCTTTTGGAATTGTCCATGCCGTGGTAAGTTTTTCAGTGTGTAGCTTATTTCTATCTATGCCCATCCAAGAGAGATTCAGTTTTTAAGATTCCATAATATCAAAGAATAAAAGAAAATGAAACAAGAAAACAATTTGGATAGGAATTTGAGTATGTTTAGAGCTCATTTTCTAAGCAGGGCGCTGTGGCACACTTCTGTAATCCTGGCATTCAGGAGACTGAGGCAGGATGACCACTGCAAGTTTGAGGCCAGCCTCAGCTACAAGGTGAGTTCAAGGCCAGCCTGAGCTGTATAGCAAAACCCTGTCTCAAAAAGACAAATAAATAAATAGAAAATATTTAAGTATTAAAAAAAGAACTCATTTTCTTGCTGTGTACTTGTTTTAATATACTCACAAGAATATGGTATACTTGATATTTTATAATGAACTTTTAATAAATAAATCTAAATAAGTCATTAGATACCTTTAGTAATAGAAGAACATATCTATCAAGAAAGCCATTATCAGTAGCAATAAGAAGTGAAACATTTGTGTATAATTATGCATTTGGGGATAATTTTATAAACCAGAAGGCTGGGGTTTTTTTTATAATTCTGTACCTTCTAAAGAATCTTGCATAAATAATAGATTTCCTGCCTCATTCTGCTATGTAAAATGAAAATTCTTCACTAATACCATCTAAATATGTATTGATAGCCCTCATCTTGCATTTTTTACCTTTTTGTAATAACTCAGGTCTCTGCAAGGTTAAGCAGGTGTATCTAGGAGTGAAGTAACACGGAACTTTGTCTTCCTTATTATTTCTCATTCTAGATGTATAAACATTTATCAATTTTTCTCTCTGGGAAACATTATATCTTCCAAATATTTCCAATAAATTTAATAGTGATCCACAGGACGTCCATTGGTCATCAGAAAGAGGTCCATCAGTTGTGCAGATGAGGGGAGGATGAAGTATAGTTATATATCTAGAAGAGTAAGGGGGAGTTTCTTTCCATCTAAATTGCAAAATGCCTTTAAAGCACATCCAAATGTACATCTCTGCTAAGCTCTGGAGCTAAGATACTGCTCCGAAAGTTTGCAGTGGAAATACTGATGCTTGAGTAGGTGCTTCTCATTTCGCTCACTGATGTGCAAATAACATTAAGTCCTGCCTTAACCCACAGCTGTGAAAAGCTGTGTGGTGCAGTGTGTTATTTCTCACATCGAGTTTATACAGACCTCTGGAGACATTTATGGTTGCAGGTTCTAGGAAACCAGATGATAAATATTGGGGGGGGGGCGGATCTTTTGGACAAGCTGTTATAAGTAGTTGAAGCTCATGCGTAAAGTACTGCACTAAACTTGTACAATTGCAAAGATAATTTTAAAATGAAAAGATTTTATTCAGCAGGATATGCAGAGTTGCAGTTTCCTGCACCATCCCAGGTAGGTCATTTCTGCCACACCAGAGGCTGCCTTGGTGAGGGACGCTGAGAAAGAGGGCAGGAGAGAAGTAATACCAAGCTTCTGGCTACCCACCTTTCTAGCACTGCAAAACCTATTCAAGTCCTGCACAAAAATCTCTGTTTTAAATGGTCAAAATAATGCCACTGAGCCAATGTTGCAGAGACTGTCTTTAAAGATTAAATATGATAATGTAGATAAAATCTCTTTGTCAACTGGGAAAGAAGGAAAAATGACGTAGGATTTTTTCACTTACTTATCCTTTTATTTACCTGTGTTGAACACTTGCCGTGTGGTGTGTTGCCATTAGGAATGATTCTTCTTTTGGAGAAGTATACAGGCTAAAGATATAGAAATTACTTTACTGATTGCAATGAGTCCATATCTATGATACATATTTGTGTGGAGTTCATCAAAGCCCTTTGAAGAAATACCAGAACTCAAACCACAGGAGACAGCTCAAGAAGGGAATTTCTGGACAGAGACCTAGAGGTAGGAGCACAATTCATTTCTAACAGGAAGATCATGTTTGAGAAATAGAACTTTGAGTAGCTGACATAATTACATGCTTTTCTCCAGCACTGTTGAACATAGGATAGAAAGATCATCAGACCTTTTGAGAACGGAGGTTTTGATAGGTGATTGTAAAGAGGAATTTGAACATATGAATGAAGAAGTGACTTCCTGCAAAGAGCATGGACTAAAAGAAGACATGAAGGAAGCCACTGACAAAACCAGTAAAGTCAGGGACGGGACACAACAGCAGGGTGGGACATTTGCCCAAGACAGATACCAAAGATAGAAAATAGGTGAGGATTTGGAACATAAAAATAGAGATAAAAGTCGTGGGGTGTCGAGAGACAGGCCATAAAGCAATCTGCATACTAGCATCCTGGTTTTGTAAAACTAAATACTTAGAAGGCTACACAACAAAATATTAATGGTGGTTATTGCAGGGTGACAGAATTATGAGCTGGTTTTATTTTATTTTCCCTGTCTTCTACAGTTTTCAAATTTTCTTCATTCAATATATATGGCTTTGGTAATTGATGGAAAATTAAAAACAGATGTGGGAGCCCAGCAATATGGGAGTGACATCAAACAGGTAATTAAAGACAGTCCCCAACCTGAAGAAATGGAGAATGATATCCGGCACTAGGTAAGCATCACAAACAGCCTCGAAGGTGAGCTGATTTCCACCTTACTGTGCTTCCTGCAGGTCCCCACTGCCATTTACCTTAATGCCTCTGTCACCAGGAAACACACCCTGCAACTCTCACAGTGAGAAGCTCACCAGCCAATAGGCGTGCACACCCACACCCTTCTGCACTTCCTTTCTCTTAAAGTGACAGGAAGTCTTTAATGCCATTAATATGGGTGACCACATCCAGCATGCCTCCGAGCATTTATGCACAGCTGCGGATAGTTTTGCCTGTGCCCTTTTCTGGCACACCATAGGTTTTGGCACTGGCTAGTGTATTGGAAAGTCTAACGTGGTTCTAGAAGAGTCCTTGTTGAATAATTCCCATTTTCCTCTCCATCTTCCTTCACCCCTACTTCCCTTTCAATAAAACACTTAACAGAGAGAAGTTTATTCCCAGCTCAGTTCTGAGATATGAATAGTAAAAGGACAGCAGATGAACCCTTGATTAAATTTCGGTAATGTTCCTCTGAGTGATTTATCAGTGCCATTACCCAGGCAACTGAAAATTTCTTTCCCAAAATCAATCCTCCTGAATTCCATGGGCTTTCCCCCTTCTACTCCTCTGGTAACCCCTGTTATCTAAAATCCTAATTTCATATCCACTGTGATACAGAGCATGAGAGTGGCTCACTTATATTTATCTTAAATTCAGTTTAAAGAAATAATGACAGGTACAATATATAGCTCACTCTAGTTTTTATGAATTTTTTTTTTTTTTGCTTGCTTTCTTCTGCTCCTAGCTCCTTGCAATCTGTGGTTGTTGTTTTGGATGGTTTATTTTGTCACATCCAATAGCAAATTTATTTTTCTTCTTTAGCCTTATATTAGGCCCTGGAAAGGCAAAATCATTTTGTTGAAGCTATAGATTTACCTTTTTAGTTTCAGCTTAGGTAAGTTGCACCTTATACTCACCTCTTCTGTTCGGTGAACAAATTTTCTCTGACCCAGCTTCAGATTTTCTTTGCCAGACCACTCATCTTCAATTTTGTCACTTAGTGCAGCATTCAACTGGAAAATGTCACTCGCATGAGTTCTACAAGTTCTGGAGCTCTTAAAGGAGTTCAGACAGGAGCACCAGGAGTCCTATTAGCCTAGGACGGTGCAGCATAAACAGGATCCTGACTCTGGATCAGACAGACTTGTGGTCAAATTCTTTCACTGCCACATTTTACAAGGCTGTGTGATCTTTACAAAATTAGCTGCAGTGGTACCGCAGTTCCTCAAATTAATTCTTTCTGTGATTTTGCCTGCAACCAAATAGAACATGAGTTTCTCTAAATAAAAGTAGGATTAGAATCACTTGACAAACTGTTTTGAGGGGTTAAGGACGTAATGTGTACACAGTTCCCAGTCCGAGAACTTGCCATAATGAGAGGTAGTTGACTTCTTTCCCTCATACCATCCACTTGAGAGTGACTAACTGCTCATCTGCTAGGGTTAAACCATAGTCTTAGCACATCCGTAACCTAACTTTAAAGGAACAAGCCCAAAATTAAACAGCACTGAGACAGAAATATGGTCCTGCCTAAAAACTTAGACAAGGGTTATGAAGGGGAGGCCAAACATTCCAATATACTAACATTTCTTGAGAGTGAGCCAAGGCCATATAAAGGCAGATCTAAGCACCCAACTGATCCTAAAATTAACCTGCTTTTCTGCGATACCGAAGAACCCAACTTTTACCCCCAACTCAGTCAAGACTCCTAGAATCCTAGGAGCCTAGAACTAAGCCTCATATGAAATTATGTATGTGGGGAGAGGGTGAATAAAAGATAGCTATTGAATTTCCAGGAAGAGAAAACAATGATTGTGTTGCTGCCACCTTCCTATCCTGTCTTGCACATCCAGTGAAATCATTAACCTCTCATAGAGACACAAATATTGCTAACAAGAGAATACTATTCCTCCTGACGTCAGAGACTGGTGTAAGACAATGTGGCTGGAGCGGCCAGCTGGGCACGATCTGCCGAATGAAGAAGCTCATTACCCACCGGGTGCAAAGCAGCAGCTCCCGTGTGGAGGGGAGGTCAAGCAGAGCTCTGCACCCTACCAGTTTTGTAATAGGAGAACACACTGACCTGGCCCGTGATACTAATCGCCTGACTCGTGAACAAGCCCACCTAGCACCTGGCCCAGTCGTCCCTCAGGAGCTCAAGTGGGACCACCTGGATCAGCTGGCAAAGAAACCATAAAAGGATCGCGGCAATCTCCTTCATGACGCGATCTTCTCGGTTGGTTGGTTTGTTTGTTTTTGTAGGGGTTTGTTCTGTGTGCAGGTGTACCGCCTCTTTTTCCTTCTAAGCACTTTTTTTCTCGTTGGTCATTTTTTGGAGGTGCTTCTTTTCCATTTCTTATTTTGCTTTAAGTAAATGTTAATGTACTTTCACCAATTGTTTGTTGCAATTCATTAGATGGAATAAGAATTTGAAAATTACTTCTGGTACCCACAATACCCCGAAATACTACCACTTAAGACCTCAACAGTCTTTCAATATAATCAAATTTAAAACTTTCTAATTGAGCTAAGAAACAGAATCTGCTTTGATTTATATTTTTTAATCTAAACTTCTTGTGACCATTTCTATAGCAATGGGGGGGGTGTTTTATTTTTGGTTAAAATATCCGCAAAGAGAAAAGTTTCAGATATAACCCTATTAATAGACTCTTATGAATAAGAAATCAAAGAGGGAGATAAAAATAATGAATATGATAATCTTACCTTTGGACCTGCTGCTTCTCTGACTTGCTGGTGTAGAGAACTCCATTTCTTTTAGATTTTAGTTTTGAATGTAGGAATACCTAATTTACTAGATTAAATGATAAGGAGTGTCTGCTTCAATTTGTCACCTTTCCCTACTGGGTTGCATTGAACGAACCTAAAATTAAGGTCCATTCTACCAAGAGAGTCAAAATTTCTGAGGAAACGAGGGCTGTGAAAGTGAAACCACTTGGTGTATGTGCCACGGTCACCTCTGTAAATACTCAGCTTCCCTCCATCTAAATTCTAAACCGAGTGTAGAAATGGCTCAATTGATATCTTCACAAATATTTCCCTGATGAGGATAAAGCTAGGAATTCCTGATAAGCATATGGAAGCACTTTAGAGTCGTGATGGGCTGTTCAACAGTGGAAGTTTAAGACCAAGAAGAGGACTCAAACACATGGACTCCTGTGCTCAAGTCAGTTTCAGATTGCAAATGAGCAGTCATCTGAATTCCCAACACTCTGCATTAGGAGGATTACTGCCCCAGGAATTGGCAGTCAGGGAATGGGAAATAAAAAATCATCAGCAGGTAGTTTTACCTAAGGATTTTATATGGGGTAATGTTAAAGACACTTCATGGTTATAGACTTAACACCGAGAACTGTACCTGTTTGTTGGAATGTACGCTTGAATGAATGTATTGCCTACATCAATCAACATTGTGATATACTCAGTTTAACTTGTTTTTGTACATAATTAAATTGAATTTAAAGCTTACAGTCACTTTGTAATGTAGATATTGTGCTACCATTATACGGATGAGTCTCAGGTTATGCATCTTGCCCAAGCAAGAGACTGAGCTGTGTCTAAAAGTTAGATAGCTATGTTCAGTCATCCTGCCTTCTCCTCACCTTAGAATCAAGAACAAATAAGGGACTACTTTTTAGTGGCCCTGATGACAACAAAATTAAACTGTGATGTGTTTGTTCATGCATTTAGGCATTAAATATCTACTAAGTGCCTACTAGTGTATGCCAAGGACATTGTCAGATTCTCAAATGATGTAGACAAAGACATGAGTTCTTGTCCCAAAAGAGTTATACAAATTGATAATCATCATACCGAATGCTGAGCAGTGTTTGAGACAGATGCACTGTGGGCAGGTATGAGAGGAAATCTGTATCCTTCTCCTTCAGATTTGTCAAACAAAGGATATGAATTAAGGTGGTGGACAGTTGAAAGTACTGGGTACATTCTTAGGCAGAGATTTCATTGCTATTATCACATGATAATATCTATCTTTATGTATTGTGCACTTTGCCTCAGACACATTTGTTATTTCCAATTTTGGAAAACTGTCATTCATCCCCTGTCCAGGTTAAAAACTTTGATTTTATTTAAAGTTAAAAATTCTGTATTAGTGCCAGAGATGATAGTGGCATAGTGTGAAGTTCTGAGTTTCTGATACCAAAAAAATTGTGCTAAAACTCTCTGTTCTTAGACATTTTATTTTCTAACCTTGTGATCATTTTTGTTGTTATTACAATATCTGTCACATTTACATTAACTTTTTGAAACAAATTAGCATTTCTTAAAAGGCGATGGGATAACTTTATACAACACAAAAGAATTTCCTAGTATTCTATTCCTGTCTCTGTATCCCAGAATGAGAAGGGCTTCTACTTGCAACTCTTGAGTCACATGGAAAATTCTCAATGCCACATGAGTCTATTACACTGAGTGCAATTAATTTTTCTTTTCCTTTCTTCTTTTAATTACTAGCATCTAATTTCACCTCCGGGAATTTAATTTTTCCTATTTTTATATGATCCCATATGCTATATATAAATTCATTTTTTAAGAAAATTAAAAGTATTTTAGTAGAAGCTAACAAAAGCAAACACACACAAAGGAAATGCAGATTCTAAACATGTAGCTAATTCAAATTTACTTTCTTTTTATTTACAGTAAACGACCAAAAACTTTTGTCTGTTTATACCAAAACGTCTTTCCTGATTCCTGGATCTGGTTGTGCATTTCCTGCCATGACCAGTATAAAATAAAGAGTTTATTGTTCTAAAAAATTATAAAACTCGTTTGAAAAATAGCTAAATTATGATGCAACTGTCAGCAAAACACAAGGGAACTTTTTTGTAGCTGTAAGAGTTGGCTAGAAGTAAAGAAATGTTACTATTCAACTCTTTTCTTAGGTCTAATTGCAGTTCACTAAAACTTTTGCTAGAAAAGAGAAGACTATGATTAAAATAGTATATATAGTAGTCATGATTTTGTGCCACTTTGGTGCTATTTGTTAGAGCTGTTGGATGGAAGGATATTGACAGTAGCTAAACTTTCTGTATCCCAATATTTAATCATTTTGTCATTACAGGTCAATTTAATCATAGATAAGTAACTGTCAAGGATATGTATCAAAAAATTAAAGTCAAGCATAGCACTGTCCAATACAAACATAATATAAGCTACATATATGATTTTAAATTTAATAGTCACATTAAAAATAGATGATCAAATCAATTCTAATTCATTTTACTTAAAACTTCCAAAATACTGTTATTTTAGATGTGTTATTAATTCTAATAAAAGAGATACTTTTACATTCTTTTATGCATGCTATATTTTAAAAATTTTGTCTATTTTTGCATTTATGGAGCCTCTCATTTGGCACCAGCCAACAGTCCTGCAAGAGCTGAATGTGCAGGCATGACTAGTGGCCCCTGCATACTATGATGCAGCTTTCAAGGTTGGATTAGATTGTTTTGTTTTGTCTGACATTGACCAATTTCAGTTGTGTGTCTTGCTGATCACATTAGTAAATTAAGACCGCATAAGAAAACATATGGCTAAATAACACAAGTATGCTATGTCCATACTGACTTTTGCATGTGCATCATAAAAACAAGCTGAGAATTAAACCTTTTTGTTTTATCTGAGCTTTCTTTACAATAATATAATTTCTAAACATAATCTGAAAAAAGAAGCAGAGAATTTTCCAGTTTTCACTGTTTCAAATGCATTTCAACTCAAAGGAAAGATTTCAGTGATATTGCTTTATTCAAAGATAACTGCTTTTGTTTTGTAATTAATGTCAGCAAATACATAACTCCGAATAGTCACCACCTTGCAAAGACAAACTAAAGGGTCATAACCTATGTATAGTTCACCCCCCAGTGCTTTGAAAATCTGAGCCTCTGGCAGCCTAGCCCTGCCTGGAAGATTGTGAAGTGCTGTGGCAATGGTCCCCAAAAATCAAAAGACTGAGGTCAAACTCCGTGTCACTCAGTTGGACAGTTGGGTAATCTTGGAGACTTATATAGTCTCATCTCTGAAATAAAGGACACATTACCTTTGTCATTGGTATATAATGGAGATTATATTGGATCAGGCAGGAGAAAAATTCCTGTCCCACAGTGAATACTCGGTAAATGCTCACTATTTCAGACATTAGATAAGCAAGAAATGGCACAAATTATTGTGTAAACTTCTTGCCTTTTACATAGCAGTGATTTTCTCTATTACACATTTGATCTATCTAGGTTTTCCCGAGTCAACATCACATGATCTAAAATCAGTTGATGTTATGTTCTGTAAAGCAGAAGAAAATTTTTACTGGGGCAGTGAAGATTATTCTTTTTAAACAATCTGTTTGTTTATGTTGATCATGTAACTTCTTGATCAGTTCTTGGTAAAATTCTAGGAAGAAGTACCACCAGAGGCTTTCACTGCTTTCTTAATCAATATCAATATAATTAAAAATACAGTCCTCTAACATCACAGCTCTCAAGCTGTCAGACTTTGCCACCTCTTTAACTAACCAACAAATTGTAACTCCACCTGGGCCATATAGCTCATCTGTGTCTGTTTAACAAGGGAAACATGTTTTTCTCAAAGATTTTATTCTGGTAATCAATACAATGTGACATCACGTGAAAAACCACACACATTGGGGGAAAAAACCAGACACGGTGAACTTCCATTGGCCAAGGCTGTGATTATACTAAATTATAGCAAAGCAATCTCTGAAATTTCACATACACGGCCTAGAACACTGGGGGCAACCGTATAGCATATGTGTTATTTTTCTTTTCAGACAAAAGTTGCTAATGCATGAGTTGTTCTTTTCTAAATGAAAACCTAGTATTCAATTTTAATCATAGTGTTGGCACTTTGCATTAAATAAGTGAGTTTGGGGTTGCAGTTGGGCATGCATCCCTAAAAGTTCAACATCACTGGCCTCGAGCTTGTGCTTCTTCTGCAATGGTCACACTTTTCACTTTCGGTGTTAGAGATAATCAACAAGAGGTGCTTATCATCATAACAGGTATGTAGAAAGTTCCTGATAAATGTTATTCACTGCAGGCATATGCGTACAATGGATTTTCATAAAAAGGATGTATTCTGCTGATTGGATTTTTTATGTATCACAGGAGTTGTTGGAGACAGGCAGTAGCATCCGAACCTTTCTGTAGATATCTATTGTCACAACCAACTGGAGTTATCATCTCCCTGCAAAACTGGAAGAAATTAAAAAACGGCAACAGTAGAAGGTCTTGCTTGCAGCTTATGGAGCTTTTGTGAGTTTCTGAAGTCTGCACCCCATATTAAGATACAAATGAAAACCCTTAGAATTTCAGTAAGTCTAGTGTTTTGAATTTGTTTATAAAAATGGTATGCAATAATCCTATAATTCTGAAGTTAAAGAAACAGACTGAAAAAAGAAGCAACAGGAAAAGATACTCTGAGTATTCATCTTTTCTGGTTTCAGAACCTAAGAAGCCTACAGAGAATGGGTGCATTTGGATAACCCGGAAGTGCTGTTGCTGACTTGGAAGGTTTATGTTGTCATGTTTCACTGGTTAATATGTCACCATAATTTATGCCATTAGATTTCTTTTCTTAAAGATTAACCACTTGGGCCCGGGTATTTAGCTCAGCGGCATAAGCGCCTGCCTTGCAAGTGTGTGGTCGTGAGTTCGATCCCTGGTACCAATAAAAAAGAAAAAGATTAACCACTTACGAATATCCCTGAGAATCAGTAGAATAGCACATTTGTTTGTACTATCCTAAGTGTCGGTGAAGTAGGTGTCATTTTAACCAGACAATTCTTACAATGAATAAATTCGAAAAACTTGTCATTTTTTATATTTTCTGTTATATTATTTTATAAAAATTGATTAAAAAACTAATCAATTGTTGGTCATCCTGTACTTAAATAATTGGAATCATAAGTGGTTAAACAAAAGAATGTAGTAACAACTCACCCAGAGTTAGAGTCTAATGTCAAGGCTCATATTGAAAGTGCACCTTTGATCTTTTAGATGTAATTCTATGTCTTCAAGGGAAAATAAACGTTATAAAATGTACTTGACATATTTTGGATCAATCTAGAGATTATAAATTCCAGAAAATCACTATGTTCTCCATAGTACTGTTTGTGATACAAAGTAGTTGAATCAGGTGTCCATAAATTTTACAGCACTACAGGCAAATGCATTGGCAGAGGCAGCAGACGAGAGCACGGATTCATGTGACATGCTGGACCACAAACAGCTTTTGACAAAATAATAATATAGTAATAGAGCACTGGATGCTTTGCAAAGCAACATTGTATGTATCACTTCAACTGAAACTTACAAAACACCTGGAAGTAGGAAAGACAAAACTTTCATTTAATAGATGTGGAAACTGAGAATCCAGAAAGAGGTAATATGCCAGAATCATTTGCTTCAGAAAGGCCAAATTAGTATCGAGATTTGATATTCACTCTGACACTTGATGTTCTCTTTTCTATGTTTTTATACTTGTAAGGGATTTAGCAATAAAATATTCATGGATTTTCATGAAAAAGAATGGTAGTATGGATTTTTTTCTACATATCAAAGGAATGATTGGAGACGGGCAATGGCATTCGAACATTGCTGTAGATATCTTTTATCATTAGCAACCAGAGTTATCTTCTCCCTGTTCTTTTGTCACTTCCATCAAAGTGAAGAAAGTAGCACATAAGCTTCATACAGGATCTAAAAATGCAAAGCCCCATAGGTTTCTTGGTATTAACTGGACTGACATATCCCAGTGCTGGAACTGTTGGTAAGATATTGAATTGACAGTTGCTGGAGGCACCATGTTCTTCTGGGGTAAAAGTTGTTCCTGGATGACTTGGCACATCACAAGATTGGGGAGGAGCGAGTATTTCCCAGTTTCTCTTTATAGAGTACTGAGACTGTTTCACAGCCATCCTCTCATTACCTCCTGTAATCTCCTTCACTACAAACTTTTGCCAGGCCTGCAGTATTTCTCTTTCTTTCTGTCCTCCCCTAAACTGTTCTTTTATGAGTCCTTTATCCTTTAGAGCACCCCTAAATGCTCTCTTTCACTTAGTTCACCTTTTATTGGTACATGGGAACAGGAAAGTGTTAACAATTAGTTGAGCTACTGACTGGTGATTGACAGGAAATGCTCAACAAGCTTCAACGAAAAGGGGACTGATCCACACCATGCTGGAACTTAGGACTCTGGGAATCCAAGCCAGCACCTCCCCTCCCTGGTAAGCGGCGATAGTTTAGCCCACTGCAACCCTTCCAGGGGGAGAACTAGCAGTGTCTCCTGAGATCCACGCCATGCTGGAACTTAGAACTCTGGGAAGCCAAGCCAATATCTCCGAAAAAAAAAAAAATTCCATGTAAATTATAAGTAAGTTGCAGTACACCAAAATGTAATCCACTATTCTGTGCAATTTATATGAACTTATAAAATCATTTTCAGATTCTATAAAATAAAAAAAACTAATATGATTGATAGTATCAATTTGGGATTATAGGCAACTACACTGAAGAAGACAAGACCCTACGATATACATTCTGGTTTGATAACTGCCAATTGTTGAAGTTCTATGCTATATACAAAGTTGTGTTTTTATTAATAGTGTTATATAATGATATATTCAGTTATACTATGTCTGATGATATAGCCAGTTCTATTGAAGATAACAAGAGACAACACAGGAACTATGGTAGAAGTCCTTGCACAATGGTCTTATATGTCTTTTTTGTTTCATGTGTTTATAGGAATATGTTTTGTTCTGTCTTGCTTTGTTTCGCTTCTACCTCTAATATAGAAAGAACAGAAATGCATGCTAAGACTCATGCATGTGTAGAATCTAGAAACAGTTTATGAGAGCTGATCTTATGACACATGATGAAATGAACAGATACTTTGAGGAAAAAGAGTCACTAAAGAACCCAGTGCTGACTCTGGTGTGTCATAATGTGAAACCCAGCAATAGTATTATTCTCTGTTCAGAGTGATATTAGCCTGCTTGGGTTTTTTCTTTCTCAACACAATTGAAGATATAGATAACTGCATGTATGTTTAAGTGTATAGGATTGATAACCATATTTCTAAGTTTTTATTGAACAGTTGAACAGAACTGTTTGCAGTCTCGCTATTTGAATTCTCACTTTACATGTTCCATTTTTGTATCTTGAATAACTATTTGTAAAATGACAATATGTAAGCATCAACCAGTGATTTCTTACTGTTTATGTTTTCTCTGAATGCATGTATTATTTCTACCTATTTTCTGTTTTGTTTAGTCTTTCTTTAAATAAAATTTTAAAAAATAATAATAAAATAAAATTTAAAAAAAAAGGGGGGGGGGACTGAGTGCAGCCTTTTCCTAGAATGATTCCTGCCTGCATTGCAGACACTCTTACTGCACTCTGAGACATCATCTCCCCTTCTGCCAAAGAGTTACAGACCAGTAGATATTTAAGAGAGGTCGACAGTAGAATGTTTTAGATGTCACAGCACCTGTATGAGCTTGAGAATGTCTTTGCTTTTGGCACTCACAGCAAGCAGGCATTATGGATTAGACCTTAGATGTCTCCTAGAGGCTCATATGCTAAAGGTTTCCTTGTCATCCTGTGGCTCTATCGTTCACTTCACTCTATCAAGGAAAATTCCTTTTAGCCATAACCCATAAAACTTTGTAAATAAAGCTGTTACTTGAGATAATGTATATGATTGAAAACTAAGAGAGATGAGCTATTGTGGTAACATAGAAAAATCTTAAGAACACATGAGTAGGAAAGCACTTAGGGCAATGGGACTAAATACAAGGCACTGGATATGCATTTGATTATATTTTTAAAATGCAGAGCTAACTTGTGCTAGATACTGTAGAGAGTGCTTTATAAACATTATCTAACTTAACCTTAAGCATTCTGTAAAGTTGGTATTGGTTTTCTCTTCCATTTTACTAATGAAAAAAAAAATGGAAGCAGACACAAGATGGAAAGAAATGGGTCTCAAACCTACTAAGCTGGCTGATCCAGAGTCCAGGTTCGTATCTAATTTTGCATTGTTTCCATTAATGAGAATTCATAGTCATATTAGAAATTAATGGCATGATGCCTGGCAAGCACGATGTCTGGCATGAGTTTGATCCCTGGTACCAAAAAAAGAAAGAAATTAATGGCATGAAAAGAAGTATATATTTAATAACTTGTCCAAAAATTTTAGACTATATTATACTATAGCTCATATAGAGTTGAAAATTTTAGAATAAATTTTATAGAAAAGTATTAAGTGGTAAAGAAACCTTAAAACCTTGATTTAATTAGCATATTAAAAATTATCTCTGAAAAAAAAATAAAAATGATCTCTATTTCTTTCATTTTTGCTGCTCTCCTTTTCTTCCCAGCTCTGTGTCTCACTAAACTTTGGGAAATTTTTTAAATAGTACTGAGAGTTGAACCCAGGACCCACCAATATACTATACCCTGAGCCCCTCTCTTTTTTTAGTATATATTTTTTAAGTTCTGAGATGGGGGCTCCCTAAACCAGTAAGTTATTCATCCTGGGTTTGCACTAGTGATCTTTTGGCTTCAGCCTTCCAGAGTGTTGCCTCACAATACCAAGCACTTCAGGATGTTTTTGATAGCTAAATGAGGAGATGAAAGAGGCAACATAGTGATTAATGTGCCTCACTGAGGTCCTCTACATGCAGACATTCATGTTTCTTCGTATGTGGATTATTGCGGTGGTCACCCTACTCTCCAAAGGAAATCTCATATTCATTTGCTCATCCAACTGTATTTACTGAGCCCCTAAATTTTACCAGGTTCATTCAAAATGTTGAGAAACAATGAATTAAACAGGCAAAAGAAGAAAACCTAGGCCTTCATGGAGTGTGTTAGTCCAATGGCATGGAGTGCGTTAGTCCAATGAAATAAAATGGTAGCTATTAGATGGTGATAATAGCTATAGAGTACAATAAACAAAAGGACAAATTGGGAAGCATTTTATGGGGTACAAGGAGAAGAGAGGTCTGCAGTTGTGGATGGGCTGATTGAGGGGTACTGAATTCAGACCTGAATGAAGGTGGGGAGGCAAAAATCACATGGTTGCCTGGGGAAAGTACTGTTGACTGGCAGGAACATGCCAGGGGTGTTAGAACAAGAGGAAAAAGGTAAAGTGACTTGAATGGAATGGGCAGTGGAGACCTTAGATGTCTTGCTAAGACTTTACCCTAAGTGGACTGGGCCTGGAACAGAGGAGGACATTATTTTGACAGTGTAACTGCCTTAATTTGTGTTGATAACAGATTTAAGTGGAGTAAGAACTAAAATAATAAAAGACAGGACTCTAAGGCAAAGCTACTAAGAGACGACAATGACATTTGAATGAGGGTGGTAATGAAGGCCAGTGGGAAGCCAAAATCTAAACTGGTTTCAGAGTTAACAGAATTTTCTGGACGATTGGATATGGGGAACGAGAGAAGAAAGGACTCCAAGGTTTTCACTTTGATGATGTGTTGGAAGTGAAGGCTACTATTCTCTAAAACAGAGGAAAATGATGGCATCTTGTTGGGACTCAGGAATCACATTGGGCCATGTAAAGTTTGAGATGTCTTTAAACATCAAGGGGAGAGATGCAAAGTGATTTACCTTGAATTATCAGCACACATGCATAGAATCTAAAGCCAGGAGACAGACTGAGATTACCCAGGAAGTGAACATGGATGTAAAACTAGAATGGTCCAAAGACTGAATTAGGAAAACTCCAAAATGTAAAGGAAAAAATTAAAACAAAAGGAAAATGAAAAAGAATCAGAACAGTGGGCTGAAAGGAAGCAGCCACAAGGCTCAAAGGAAACATCCAGAATATTGCGGAAGGAGCCTCTCCTATGTTCTACTAGGAGTGGACAGCTTAGATGCAGTAAGAGAAATTTTGGAAGAACACTTTTCTACTTTTCAAAATAATGAAGTTTAATGTTACATTATCCATCTTGGTAAATAACACACAGATAATCTCAGTGGATCTTTCTATACCACTAAACAGCAGAACAGGGATTAGAAAT